GAACCAGCGAGGGCGAGGAGCCTGGAAATAAAAGAACTGCCCTGAGGGATTATACGGATGGCATAATTGAGGTGCCCGAGGAGGGACAGTAGCTGACGCTTCTAAATCAACGGGGAGGACAGGGCTGACCGAGAGAAAGCGTGGACGCGCCAGAGCTTGTCCAGTGGGAGGGAGGCCACCATGGCGCGCATGTCGAGGTGGATGCCAAGAAACTCCAAGGCGGTGGCCGGGCCTGCAGTCTTCTACTCGGAGAGGGGGACCCCAAGGGCAGAGAAGGCAAGTCTGAGCTTGCGGAGAGTGCCCCCGGAGCAGGATCCAACACAGCGCCTCCGAGAGATTATTAAACAAAGAAGGACTGCTCCGGCATCCGAAGGTGATGCGCACAGCAAAATAGAACTCGGAGCGCCACTTGACACCGAACAGGTGCCAGTGGGAGCCCGGGGAGGCACATCAGGAGAGCCCGGGGATGCCTGGGAAGGCCCGGAGTCCGCGAGGGGAGGGCGAGGGGGTCAGGCGTGCTTCGCCTGCGAGTGTTTGATCAATCTGATCGCGTGGTCCACCGTGGCATACTGCAGGGAAAAGGGCGCGGGAGGGATGAGACTATTGATGCTCGGGGTGGGCTCGGAACAGGGAGAGGAGAGGTCGAAAATAAGACGCTTCTTCCCGGAATACTTTTGAGTGGCGATGCAAAGCGGGTTAGAGCGAAACGGAGAGAAGGGGGGCCTGGAGAAGGGGCCGATGACGTAGCCCATGGACACCTCCCGTGCCAGAAGCCGCGTGACCACGTACGGCTTGCGGAGGGCCGAGAGCAGGTTGCGAGAGACGGCGAAGGGAGGCCCTCCATGCCTACGAGGAAGCCCTGTGCCAGGCCGGAGAGGAGGAAGTCGACGAAGGCCCGGTCGGGATGGAGGACGAGCGCGCGGGCCAGCCTGGGGTCGAGAGGTGGGCCCTGATCAGGACCTGGGAGAAGGCCCCTCGGAACGGCGGCCTGGTGGGCAGCGCCGCGGGCACAAGAAACGGGGGTGGGCCTCCCTGCACAGACTGCAGACATGGAGGTAAGAGCAGGGGTGATAGTACTAAACACTTAAGTTGAATTTATTAAATACAGGAGCGTGAGTGTAAGCCTCCGTCTTGTGGGGGGAGACGCGCGGGACGTGACGGCTCGCCCCCGAGGCGTCCGATGGGGATGCTGGGGCAGAGTGGAGAAGTGTGCCCTGCAGCGCCACACCGGGAACAGGCAACCGCAGGGGTGCCGCTGATGGACCGCAGCAGAACCTCCGTGTCCAGCACAGCCCAGTCAACTCTGAGCAACTCTGAGATTCACGTGGGCCACGAGGGCCGCGGACTTCGCGGCGAAGGCCCTGTGGTAACGGTAGAAGACGCTGCCTCCGTACCTGAGGGCCAGGTCCCCCATCAGGCTTAAGTAAGAGTCCAGCTCAGGCCTGCGCTCGGGATACACGGAGCAAACGACGTTGCGGTAGACCCCGAAAGCGACGAGGAACTCCCCGATGGACAACTCGCGGGACAGGCGGGGATCCGCGGTCTTGGGCCGCAGCAGCAGGAGAAACAGGCCAAGAAAGCGCCGAGGCCGGCTCGGGCGCGCCAACGGAGCGGGGTCCACGAGCACGTGCGGGAGCCCGGGGAGGCACATCAGGAGAGCCCGGGGATGCCGGGGAAGGGCCGGAGTCTGCGAGGGGAGGGCGAGGGGGGTAGGCGCGCTTCGCCTGCGAGTGTTTGGTCTTGCACTGACGCTTGCGGGGAAGGGGGGAGGGTCCGGAGCCCGGGGGGGCAAGGTAGAACCCTGTGACAGCTGGTCGAAAAGGCTCCGGAGCTGGAGCGACGTAGCGTCAGGGCCCGACACAACACCTCGTGCAGCGAGGTAGGCACGGACAGACCCAGCATCCTTGGACGCCAGACACACGCTCTTCCGCGGACTGGTGGGTACAGGTGAAGCATCGCCGGAGAGGTCGGGGAGGGAGCCAGACGCCCAGTCGAAAGGAGACACAGGCGCGCGGCCATGAAGTGAAGACTGCATCATCGTGTACAGGTGCGTTAGCTAGCATACAATTGCGAGGCTTGAGAAGGCCGTTAAGTGGGAGACTCTGCTTTTAAGCTGCTGGCCTGGCCAGCATAGGTTGGCTGGAAATGGGCATTTTGCTGCGATAGGCCGAGGATGTGTGGCAGGCCTGAAGGGGATAGGCTTTAGCAGTCCGTCTTCCAGAGTGAACTTCCGCAAGCTACATATCTTGCAGAAGAACTTTGTTCGTATATGCACCACACTATTATGCACTGCCTTGAGTTGAGTAGTTTTATTTATATATTCTTAATTTAATTTACAGTTAGATTACAAACATGATAAACAACATTAAACAAATGTGGCAGAAGCACTTTGTTCCCATTTGAACTGACTCCTCTTGAGGTTCAATGAAAATAAAATAAATAATATTTTGCTGTAGTTTTGGGGGGGTTATTTATCTTAAACTAAAATGCGTCAAGTGATTACTTGGAGGAGAGAGAGAGGAGAGGCAAGAGAGGAGAGGGAGAGAGAAGAAGAGAGAGGGGAAAGAGTAGAGAGTGTCTGTCTGCAGAAGTGGAGATATTGTTCAAACTTGATTCATATTTCTGATTGTGTTTTTGGTCCGAGCTGGTGCTGCTGCTGATGCACTTTACAACCCTCTCCCCATCTCCCCCTTCTCTATGGAGCAGGTCTCCCCTCTCTCCTCTCTCTTTCTTATCTTCCTTCTCTCCTCTCTCTTCTCTCTCTCCCATCTACACCTCTCTTTCCACTCTCTCTCCTCTCTGGGTCATTCCGCGGGGAAAAAAACAAGAGGCTGATTGTAGTTATGAGCGTTCATTAAGTTCAATGGAGACAATTTATGAGAAGTTTGTCAGTAACAGAAACATCACAGACATGCAGACTCTGAGTCACATGCTCTGACGCTGAGATGAGAAGAACATGCCCCCTAGTGGACGCAGCAGGATCAGCAAGACACTCACTGTGGACGCATGAGGAACAGCACATGGGCTAATGACTCTTGTTCCTGTCTAATGTGCTTTAAAAGTTTTTTTTAAACCGTTATGTAATAAATTACTAATGTCCCTCACATGTTTTTCTGTGCGCAGGTCAGAACTCTGATTACACCGCTATTCCACATAATTTGTTTTTATCTTTTGACATATTAAATGTTGCTAATCTTCTGCCACATAAGTTGTTTTTGTTTCAGCACGTTATAGTGGTTTTCCAAGTCCTATTCACCTTATATCTTCAATGTTTTTTGTTTAATCTCAGAACAAGATTTCATCAGACTGCATGCAGCGCATCTGCAGAGAGTAGTTACAAACCTTAATGTATTAAAATATATAAAGTTATAACTGCTCGAGTTATTATATTCACGGTGCAGTTTGAAGGCCTTCTCTCTCGCACCCACTTTCACCTCAATAATATAACAACACATGTGCTCTTTTCTCTGGACTCTGCGTGATTGATGCCTGCTCTAATCCGGAGCTGTGTGCCCCCTCCGGAGAGTCTTTGAGGGCCCCCGTCCCATGTGAAGCCAGAGCGAGGGTCAGTGCCATTCGGCAGGCTCCCAGACCCTCCCCACCGGCGCATCTGCATGTCCAATCGCCATTTCACCCCTCCACACTCCCTAATTGTTGCTAAAATTATTTGTGAAATTGCCTTCCACCAGGAGTGTTTTCCACGGCAATTGTCACAGGGTTTTAACCGCTCGGCGGGCCCACAGAGACGGCCCTGCTGCTCCATATGTGCTGCCGTTTTATTAGACTTTAATGGCTCCCATTATTTATTTCCCAACAATTACCTTAAAGCAATTATCCACAGAGGAAACTCAACCTGTTGTCATCATCAATAGCGGGTCGATCCCAACTCGTGTCACTGCCGCGGAGCCTTTTGGGAGCGATTCACGCTGCGCACTTGAACGTGCCCTAATTGACGGTTTAACAAGCTAAAACAACACGTTCACGCAGGTCTTAAGGACATGGACAGGTTAAAGAGCTCACACAGGTCGTAAGGACAGGTACGACTTTTACGCAGCGTCTGCAGCATTGATCCAGGACGCACGTGGTTCCAGGGTGCGTCACGTACTGTCAGAGATAAATCAATATAGACCTTTTTACAAGTGAGCAAAAACATATTATTAACAGTGTATTTTTGTTTTGGTCAAAATTATTTTATAATAGATTATAACAATATCTATATATAATAAATTATTGAAAAGAAAAAGAAAGGCGTGTTTATTTGTATAGCACAAAATCCCACACATTTACATTGATGGATTTAAAAGAACAATCATCCAGTGGTCTGCAGCCAAAGGCTGATAAATATAGTGAGAGATCAAACAAATAATTTGTTTAAAATGAGAATCGTGTTTGAAAGAGAGAAGACACAACTGGTTAGAAATAAACACAGTTGATGTTGTTTGTGTGCATCTTTGTGTGTGTGTGTGTTATATTGTCGTGTTGCGTGTGTTGTTTGTGTGTCACTCGCGGCGATCATCGGGTTTTGTTGGTTTTTGCAGAGAAGCAGCAGTGAATGAAAAGTGCCAGTGCGATTCTCTGATTGGTCCGCGGGCTCTTGGCTAAACCCACTCTCTTTTGATCCATAAAAGAAAGGCGCGGGAGCCTATGGGAGCGCGCGCTGCCTCCTCCTACGACATGCACCAAAGTTGGCCACTTAAACTACTTCCAGGCTGCAGCAGGCGTACACTGAACCCGGACCCCAAGAGAAGGACGCGGCCACCGGTGTAACCTTCTCTGCGCATCAGCATCGTTTAAACACAACAAGACAGAGACACAACAAGACACTATTGTTGAGACTTGTGCCGTTTGTGTGGCTGGTCGCTTGCCCGGTGGAACGGGGTTCTCTCCTCATCTGTCTCTGCTTCCGCGGGACCGGGATTTGACCATTTCTTTGAGCGCTGTTCTTTTTTTTCTTTATTTGGACCAAAACCCCGAGCCGCTTCTGGTTTCGCTGAAGACGAATGGCGACTTTACCGGGAACAGTGCCTCGAATGATGCGTCCAGCTCCAGGCCAGAACTACCCAAGAACCGGCTTCCCCCTAGAAGGTAACAGCTGGACACATCTGTCCGCTTTAGCCTCAGTGCGCACCGGGAGCCCGGGTTCTGTTACAGGCGACACATGTGATAAAGAGGGGCCTCGCCCTCCGTCAGCCGTGATTAAAGTTGACGAGCTCCAGTTTGGTCAAATGTATGTAAATCCTCTGGAGGCATGCGCACTGCACTTGTTTTCCTCCATTTGGGCATTTTGTCTTTCTATTAAAACAGATGAAGCATTGACCCAGTTTTTACAGGTGGAAGTCCTCGGCCTCAGCCGCTCCTTACATCTGCAGTTTAGTTAGTGTAGTTAGTGTTAGTTAGTATATATATATATATATATATATATATATATATATATATATATATATATATATATATATATATATATATATATATATATATATATATACATATATATATATGTATGTGTGTGTGTGTTGTATTTATATATTCATATACATATTTATATGACTATGTGTGAGTCTCCAGCTGCAGCTGGACCTTTGACAAACAATATTTGTGATGATTTAAATTGAGCCTGAGCATCATAGCAAAGTATTCCATCTCTGTAGTAGATGTGGATCTTCTTTGTGTGTTATCAATAGAAGTATATTTTATATAAAAAAGATATGGGACACGTGTTCCTCCGCAGTAAATGAAGAGGAACACGTGAAGAGATTTGTAACGAATAGAATGTGTTTAGACTTTATTTAGAGAGAGACATGTGGACTTTCTTCTCAGCGGCCGCGCGTTAAACAGCTCATATTATTATTGTAACGAATGTCGTGAATTGAAAGGCAGTTATAAATCAAGTAAAAACTTGAAAAATAAATGTTATGAATATTTTTTCTGTATAACGTATAATACTGCAGCCACGAATATATTATATATAATAATATTATTATTATATATATCTATATCACATTATTATTATTATTATTGTTATTATTATAAAGTGAGACATAAAGAAAATTCCTCCAGTAGCCCGCACATGTGCGTAAAAAGATCTACTTAGTACATCACCGACTGACAAAAATATATAACTCTATATAATCTAAATAAAGTACATGCACTCAGCACTGGCACAAATATCAGTTATTTTGATAACTGCCTCCAACGACATCAGAGTGATGAATATTCCCCTCCGCAGCCTGACCACATGTGCGTCAAAAGATCCCGTATATTTGCATACATTTATGGGAGCAGTTTCCCCATTACTCCAGGCGCGTGCTCAAGTGGACAGGACTGGATCGTGCGGAGCGGCTCCACGGAGCGTCTCGAGCCGCGGGATTTGTTCAAGTGGCGCGCGGCTGGAAATGGCAGTAACACACACAGCTCAAAGGATCACATCAATATTTGAACAGCATGACTAGGAATAATGAGACACACATACACACTTACGCACACTCACGCGTGTGTCTTGTCCACAGTGTCCACGCCCCTGGGTCAGGGCCGCGTTAATCAGCTCGGTGGTGTCTTCATCAACGGGAGGCCGCTTCCGAATCACATCCGTCACAAGATCGTGGAAATGGCACATCACGGCATCCGTCCGTGCGTCATCTCCCGCCAGCTACGAGTCTCTCACGGCTGCGTCTCCAAGATCCTCTGCCGGTACCAGGAGACCGGTTCCATCCGGCCTGGGGCCATCGGAGGGAGCAAACCCAGGGTGAGGCCAGATGGAGGCCAGAGAGGCCAGAGAAATGCCATGAGGAAGGCCAGAGGAAGGTGACCATAGGCAGGCCAGTGAGAGGCCAGGAGACCAGATGGAGGCCATAGAGGAGGGCAGAGGGAGGCAGCAAACCCAGGGTGAGAGGGGAACAGAGGGAGGCCAGATAGAGGAAAAGCCAGGGTGAGGGAGGCCTGAGGGAGGCAGCAAACCAGGGTGAGGCCAGAGGGAGGCAGCAAACCTATAGGGTGAGGCCAGAGGGAGGCAGCTAACCCAAGATGAGACCAGAGGGAGGCCACAGACCCAAGGGATTGTAGGACAGGGCCCATGAGAGGAGGTGAGAGGAGGTGGGCCTTGCTGTTTTTGACACAAACAGAGATGTCATGACATTGTGCAATAGTTATTTTTTGTTGAAGCAGAATCTTTTTTAATTCCTTCTTATTTTTAGGCTTTTTGAGGACACTTGACAGCTTCATTTTCAAAACATGTGAAAATCTCACATTTTTGTCTTTATTATCAACCCTATACATATATGTTTATTATTGGCTATGTTTATTATGGGCCATATTACATATATGTTTCTTTTGGGCCATATGCATGTTTATTATTGGCAATATTACATATTTTATTATTGGCCATATACATTTACATGTTTATTATTGGCCATTACATATAAACATGATGGCCTTTTTTCCCGAATTCATTCAGCAAATAAGAAAATGTGAAGATCCCAAATATATGTTTTTTCAAATGGACAACCAATTTCAACAAAAACACGTTAGAAATAATAATATTATAGCTTTATTTATTATAATACATTTTTGTAACTGAATGTTTTAAAGTCACAACGAGATAATTTACAACAAATAATGTTTTTTTTTCATTGCCACAAATCATAATTACATAAGTGATATCCATAATGATAATAATAATGATAATATTAGTCTTGTTGAGGTCATTTGAATTACATTATATTGTATGTTTATGAGTTTGTGAGAGCGGACGCGAGTCTGCTCTGTAGTTACACACTGGATTAGAATCTGGGTTATTCCAGAAGATTTAAATTTCAGTCTCATCACAGATTACATTCTCATTCTGCCTATTATTATTATTATTGTTATCATTATAAAAACAAATATATTACTCTTTTCATAATCATGTATTGTATTTAGTATTTTTTGAAGTGAATTTAGGCATATTACAAACATGTGAACTTGTTCCTTGTAATTAAAAACATATACTTGTAATTAAAACCATGTTGCTGTCGCTTTCTCTTTCTGTGTCTCTCCTCCCGTCCCCGTGTCTCCCCCGGCCTCTCTGCCTCTGCAGCAGGTGGCCACCCCGGACGTGGAGAAGCGGATAGAGGAGTACAAGCGGGAGAACCCGGGGATGTTCAGCTGGGAGATCCGCGACAAGCTGCTGAAGGACGGAGTGTGTGACAGAAGCACGGTCCCTTCAGGTGAGGCTTCCTCCGGTAAGATGCACTTTCTTACTTCTCCGCCGCTGACTGACCGTGTACCGTGTCTGACAGCATCACGTGCTCTCCTCACGGCTCTAAGCCCTAATCACCGTCTGCTTCTTGTCGCCATTAGTGAGCTCCATCAGCCGCGTGTTGAGGGCGCGGTTTGGCAAAAAAGATGACGAGGATGACTGTGATAAGAAGGACGAAGATGGAGAAAAGAAAACAAAGCATAGCATCGATGGCATCCTCGGGGATAAATGTAAGTTCAGGCTATTGCTATTATTATTATTATTATTATTATTATTATTATTATTATTATTATTATTATTATTATTATTACTATTATTATTGCCATGGGGGGCGGGGGTTCCTATGGGATCGTCCTAAACTGTTCTAACGCAGAACTGTTCATTTATTTATGAGCTTTGGGAGAAATGAATTTGTGAAGCAGCACATTCCTCACGCGGTGGTTGCGGCGGGTACGGGCGGTTACGGGCTCTCGTGTTGACCCGTTACCGGTACCGGGAGTTGGCCACATCTCAGCACATGTCCCTGAAGTGGAATCAATGCAGATTATTATTGGTGCTGAGAGGCGCGCGCGCTGAGGACAGGTGCTGTCAGCGCTGTCACCTTACGCGCTGTAACTTCTGTTTGGTTTAGTGTCAGAGCCACACATGCGCAGTTAACAGCACAGGGATTAATATAAGCAGGCTAATTCTTATTTTGAGTAAATATGGTCTGCCCGCGCTCTGAGAACGCGCGGCTGCAGACACCTCTTGGGCCAAGCAGAATACGCAGTCCGTGGAGTTTGTTCAGTCTTGAAGATGAACTTGAGGCTAACACTGTGTTCACGCGCTCCTAAGTGAAGGTTCAGGCACAAAAGCATCTATTCTCATTCAAACAGTCTGTAACAGAGACAGAGCACTTTGGACAAAGGCCTCGAGAGCCACAAAAGGAGATGAATAATTCAGAACGCCCCGCTGCTGCAGTTTTGTCATTTCAGATCAAGCTCTGCGGAGCAGAAAGAGTTAGCGTGAAAACGGTCTCATCTTTTCTGTCAAACCGCGCGTTAATGTTTGGAAACGCTCCAGCTTTTAGCGGCAAATACCAGGACGCGGCTGAGGCGGAGTCCGCGTGACGCGCGGCCTTTACGCGCGGAGAACATGACTTGTGCTTCTTTATGATGCAGTCTGCTCTGCCCAGTCTCCCCTGTGTCAGTACCGTCCCTCATGTGTCAGTACCAGTCTCCCCTGTGTCAGTACACGTCCCCATGTGTCAGTATCACTCCCTCCATGTCAGTACCAGTCCGCTCTGTATCAGTATCAGTTCTCTCTGTGTTATCAGTCCCCTCTGTGATCTTTAGGACGGATATCACCTCTCGCTCTGCTCCTGTTTCATTGCGGAGACATTTGCAAGTTCCCGGTGCGGGTGTTGTTATAGTACCGGTGGCGGTTAATAACGGTAATACTTATTAGAGTAAGCAGTGTAAACTGAATGGGAGCTGTGTTTGTGCGGCTGTAATAGCTCGCAGGCTCCGTTCGAACTGTATTTATCCCCAATCAGCCCCTCACTCTGTGCGCAGGGTTTAAAGCAGATTAAAAAGAGCCTTTTATTTCTCTCACTTTCATCTCTGCGCGCGGCGCACAGCGGCTCGCCCTCGGCACAACATTCAGGAGATTTTTTTCCCCGTTTACTTAACCAGATTTTAAGACTTTATTTATTTATCTAGGCTATTTGTTTATTAGGTCGGTGTATTTGATTTTCAAAGAGGTGACATCACGGGTTTATCCCAGCTCTAATCTCACTGCTTTCAGCGGCACCAGTTATTTTTGTACCTTCTTTTATTTGGTATTTTTCCAAAGTGTTAATGAAGGATCCGTGAACCCCACAACAGCTCCACACTGGATTCTCCCGGTGTCAGAGACAGAGGCCCAGCACGGACTCGGTCATCTGTGGATCACCGGCCGTAATAACCGTGCGCGATTAACCTTGCCTGCGTGGTGGATTATTATCCATTATTATTATTATGGTGGATTATTACCACATGGTACAGAGTGACACCTGCGATAGGTGATGTCACACTGCAAGAAGTGATATCACATCATGCGCATGCCGCGTTCGAACCATACGTTTTGAAACAGGTTTTTATTTTCCCAAACGCTGCACGGCTCACTTTGTTACCTTTTATGTATATATATGTATATGTATATGTATGTGTATATATGTGTATATGTATATGTATGTGTATATATGTATGTATATTTATGTATGTATATATATATGTGTATATATGTGTATGCATGAGTATATATATATGCACGTATATGTACATGTGTGTTCATAAGAACACACTGTTATATTCTGTATGTTCATAAAAACATGTTAGAGACTCGGCGATGAAAGAGGCCTGGCGAGCTGCTCTCAAGCACGCGCTCTGCTCTCACGCACGCGCACAGGCTCCTAAGTGTATGGTAATATAATGTTCTATATTTCGGGTCTAAAGCCGCTGTGTGAGAAGGACAGGGGAGTGAAGCGAGAGACCACTTCAAACAAATCCATCTGGAACAGTGAGAGGGAGAGATTCTCGGAGTATGGGGAACTTATTTAGCTATTAATAACGCGTTTTCCTCAGGCATTGAGAGTGACTCCATCTGCACTTTCTCGCAGCTATTTGGCGCGCTGGAAATGGAGGGAGCCCCAAATGTTGTGCAGAGATAACACACCCATCACAGCCCAGACCCGCGCTGCGAAGCACTGCATTAAACTCGGATTAACCTCCCGTGTCCCCGAAGCCAGGCCGCTCAGTCTGCAGAGAGTGAGGAGCAGTAATAATAATAATAACAATAATAATAATAATGATGACGATAGTAGTAATAATAATAATAATAATGATAATAATAATGAGTATGATAGTTGTATTAATAATAATGATAATAATCCAACACATAATTATAGTGTGAGAGGCGCAGGAAAGGCCTGTGTTTTAGATTCACGGTTAATCGAACCCTGTGAATATCATTAGCATGATTTATTTTAAGAGATTTATTTAGATTTTCATGTTTTTTTTTTAACAATATTTATAACATTTGATTATTTACTCAATCTACTCACACTCTCTCCATACTGACGTCACAGAATATAAAGTAAATATTCACCTAATTAATCTGTGTTTCACACGGAGCCGTTTCCTGTTGCGCTGACTGAAAGGATTTTTATTAAACAGCACAAAGATCAGAAGGAGTTTTTTGCATATACAGGTACTCTCTGTTTTAAATATAGATAATAGTTGTACACAATTAACGCCACAGTTTGTGTTTTATAACTGATTACATCACAGCTAGATATCACTGATGAAATCACAAGTAACAATATGACCAATATTTACATGTTTCAATCACACGTTTGGCTTGTTTGTGAATATTTTATTATTGTAATGTGTATATTATTAAAATACATTATATTATTAATATATTTTAATAATAGATTGAGAGTCCAGTCTGAGGAAAGCTTTAAAGGGGACCTGACCTGTTTTATTCATACAAATATATTGTCCCAAAAGTGCTGTCTTCACCTTTTTAGAAAACATGTATCTTCTGAGTAAGAAAGAGCCCTGTGAGTCACTATCTGACTCTTTGGGCTGAGAACTGATTGGCTGTGTGAGGGTGGTCCTCTGAACAAGTTGATCTGAAGATATGACAGAGGCCAAACACAAACTGTTAACAGCACAAAGATGTTGGTGGTTATGAAGTCAGGTATACCTCAGCTTTAATTACACACAGCTCTTCCTGGTGAGTGGGGGTCACGGACGCCGCTGATTGGTCCAAACCTTTTCTCTTAAAGCAGCAAGTAATATGTCAATGTGAAGCTGTGCTTTAAAGGCCTCAGCAGCAGCAGCAGTCAAGTGTCAGGAGCTTTATGTCCAAAGCATTAAAACAAAATCAGGATTAAATTCTTTCTGTGATGACGTTTGACTTTGATCTCATCGCAAATATTCACGACCCACAAACACACGCGGATCCCCATTATCCCTCTGACACTGATGCTCTCAGCGCTGTCTGTTCATTAGAGTGGCACGCTCCATATGGGACACTTCCTATCACCAACATGTCTGTCCCTGTCCCCCTCACTCTCCTCCCCCTTCATCTCTCCTCCTTCCTTCATCACCCTCTCCTCCTTCTCCATTTCCTTCCCCTCCATCTCCATTTCCTTCCCCTTCATCTCTCCTCCTCCCTCCATCTCTCTCCCTCTCCATTTGTCCTCCCTCCATCTCTCCTCCCCCTCCATTTCGCCTTCCTCCCTCTGTATCTTCTTCCTCCCTCCGTCTGTATCTCCCTCCTCCCTCCATCCCCCTCCCTCTCTCCTCTCCTCCGTCTCTCTCTTGGCGCCTCATAAAGGGGGAGATCACCTCTCTCTAGTTTCTTGTGGGACATTCTGAGAGTGTACAGATGAAGACGTGGGGATTCTCTCTGGTTCCTAAAGATGAGTTTCTAATCCTTTCCTTAATAACTTAAAAGGATTGAGTGTCTCCCTCATGTCTCCCTCATTGCGGGTGATGATCGCACATTGTGAGCTCAGATAGAACCATTTCAAGGTTACGTTTCCCGCTGTAAGCCCAAAGGTGCCGCTTTGTTCAGCCGCGGGGACTCCTCTTCTGTTGTTATTATGATTTAAATAACGCAGAGATAAGATGCAATAAAACATCCGAGCCTCTATTTAATTATGGAACAAGACTTTAGCGGTGACAATTGAATCCAGAGCCGGCTCAGACAGGCTCGGGGACCGGGGTCTGGTTGGGGGTCTAATAGTTAAATTAAAGAGGAAGTGTTGCCCTGGAGGGTATCCTGTCCATTTGACTTTCCTCCAAAGAATCCTCTCATGTTTCAGAGTCACATTGACACCTTTGTAACGTCACGTCATGTGTTCTTTGTAAAGCGGTTAAACTGTTAAACTTGTTCAGTTTTGACATTTATTTCATGCATTTTCTACAATATTGCTCTGGGCCCCTGCATTGGGCTGATGTTGTGCTGTTTGCAAACACTGTATAATCACGTATAACTTCATTAATTCACATTCAGTCTTTGGGTTTGGGTCAGAACTTAAACTTGAATTTGTTGTTTCAGAGACACAAAAATGTTCTGGTTTAGGTTAAACTGTGAAAATCTCTCTCTCTCTACTCTCTCTCTCTCTCTCTCTCTAAATATTTTATATATATATATATATATATATATATATATGCATGTACTCTAGTATATAAGGACT